ACTAATTACTATTAAACTTAAAAACACTATTAAATTATTACTAAACTTCGGTAATTATTCTATTTATTTACACTACTGTTACTATTCACTGTTCTATTTATTTCACTTCTATCACTGTCAATTTATCTCTTAATTCACTTCTGCAACGGTCAATTTATTTCTACTCTCTTCGGCGATCGTCTCTTCCTTTAAATACTCCCTTCCCTCCTTTCGGGAACATTCTCGAGTCGTCTGGAGAAGTTTCGTTTTCTTCGAACTGTTTAATTGCTTTCCCGGAACGCAAGTACGACACACACGTTTAGATGTACACACGCACATGAAGAAAGGCACCCGCGGCTAGTCGGCGAATCGATAAGCCGCTCACACACACGTATGCCCGATCGCACACAAACACGCTCGTGCTCGCTACATTCTTGATGACTACGATTTAAGAATTTTAATTGATAGTAGAGCGTCAAATTTGGTTATTAACCCTAGTCCTGCTTATACTTTTCTGATAAAATTTTAAGGAAACCTTTTACGATAACATGATTGAATAATTCAATCACTCATAATCAAAACATCGAAGTACTGATTTTAAAGTCGTTAGGAGTCAGTCACGAGTTCCTATTTAACGTTGCAAAATGGCACGATAAGTTCAATGGACTTTTAAGAAATGAAGATTGAATTAAATTAAAGGCTATAATTAATTATGAAACAGAAACAGTAGGGATTCCATTTGCAAAAATTCCTTTTTTTGAATGAAGAAAATCTCCAGTCACTCACCCAATTAGCTAATAATAAAACAATTAGTATTCCTGTAGATTTGTTAGATGGAGAGGTTATGATTCCTGAAATTAACGTAAATAATTTTATAATACGTGAATCTTTATGTATTGTAAAAGATGGTTTCTGTAATATTCCAATTGAACAAGAAATATCTGGCAAAATTACGTTTCGAAAACCCGTAAAAGTTAAGCCTACACATACTGCCGAAATAATGCAACCTCCCATAATTAAAAATATTATTAAGTTAGCCGAAATAATAAAACACATACATATGAATTCTGAGGAATGAAACAAAATACTTTCTTTATGTGAAAATTATAAAGATATCTTTTATAACGAAGGTAGTGATTTGACCTATTAAACATACAATAAGAACAACCGTACCATTTAAAACAAGAAATACAAAGTCAAATTGAAATACTTTTGCAAAACAAAATTATTAAACTAAGTAGGTATATCTCCTTATTCATCTCCTGTCTGGATTGTTCCGAACAAGCTAGACGCGTCAGGTAAAAAGAACTGGTGTTAAGTCATAGATCACCCCTTTACCTCAAATTACCAAAATTTTAGACAGCTTAGGAAAGTGCAGTTATTTTAATACGTTAGCTTTAGCTCAGGACGATGCCGAAAAAACTATGTTCATGGTTAACAATGAGTACCACCAATATGATCCTATGCCCTTTGACATAAAAAATGCCCCGGTTACCTATCGAAGAGTTATGGATAATATTTGTGCATGTGTTCTTATTTCAGACCCATGCTGAAATATTAGCATGCGGTTTGCTGTTTGATGTTCGATACGTTTAAGGAAATTTTTTTCAAGAATTTTACTCATTATGTTGAGTGTAGTGAGCCTAAAAAATGTAGAGTCATTGATATCTTTACCTGGCTTGTGGATAAAGACGCAAGATCCAAATTTTCACCTCTCAGGGAAATATTCATTAGTTAAAGAACAGTTATATATCTCAACTAGATTTAGTAAGAGCCTGGAGCCTGCCCATTTAATAGAACCAGTTATAATGTCATCTAGTTCGGGAGCTTTATAATTATTAAATATTTTAATAATATTCAACATTTCCGCTATTGATGTGGGTTCAATTGGTTTTATCGGTGTTGTAAACGAAGCTTGTTTTTTCTTCCACTGTCGACTCGTGTACAAGTGCTGCTTTCGTCAGTTTGTCTGCGAGTTCTAAAACGGAATTTGTTTTTAAGTGTGACAGTTCTTGATCATTTTTTTGTTTTTGAGATTGTGTTAAATTTTTCATCTATAATCTTCCTTACCGTTAAGTAAGTCGAACCACTGTTTATCACGCAGTGTATTGATTTCTTGGTTAATGTCCTGTTTTACTTCTCGTAATTGATTATCAATTTTCTTTAATCTTTTGCAGAATTGTTTGAATAGTTCTTCTTATTTATAGAATCCTTTCATCACATTCCTCGTCGTACTGATACTGGTTACTACAGGAGTCAATTCGTTTGTTAGTCGTTCATATTTTTCTCTATCTAGAAGCTTTAGATTTCAGATCATTTTAAATGTTCAATGTGATGTGTAAAATTCGTTTTAAGAATCCAGGGAATGTGGTCTGATCAAATGTCATCTATTGACCGGGATACAGGTGTTATATTTATTGTACTCGAAATCGCAAAATCGATGGTGTTGACCGAATATTCAGGTCGAGAGGGCTTTTCGTGTGAAATTAATTTTAGATTGTGTTGTTGGATTAATTGTTCAATTCGCAGACCTCTGTGTAAAGTCTATTACCTCCCCAGCTTCTATTTCTCGCATTAAAGTCTTCTATTGTGATGGTGTTAGGTTCTTGAAGGATACGTTCCATCTGACTTTCAGTTGCTCTACTTTCAGTACATGGTACATAAATCCCAGCGGTCGAAATGTAATCGTTGTCAGTTAGTGTAACCCTTATTCAACTGCCTTAGATTTTTCTTTCACCGGCTTCGGGAAGTAAATCTTCTTGTACCCAGGTAAGTTGTTCGTTAATATAGAGACGAATTCCCAAATGTGGGGCTATAAACTTTGGTCATAGTCTGTTTTTTTGTAATGCAGTATAGATAGCTTATCCATTACCAGCTAAAACTTGCATTATCTGTCATATATTTCTTATTGACTACGCTATTGGACAATGTGAAGTTTAATGCGGTGTTAGTTATTTCCATCACTAGATTGATAATTTTCGAGATATCATATTAGGTGTATTTTTCCATTGATTCTAGAATTTTCTTTCTACAAGAAAAGTTGTTACCTCCTCCGCGAAACTGTGTTGTCGAAGTTGTGTTAGTGATTTAGATTATTATTTCCTGAGGGTAGACCGTTGCTGCTGCGTAGATAGAACTAAATGATTTTCATTCCTTTGTTTCCAATTATATTTACAGTTTACAGTCACTAAGTATAACAATTGTTTTACGAATTCACTTAGTCAATAGGGAGATTTCTAATACTTTATAAACCAAACGAAATGTATTTAGCAAGTTTATTAAAAAGAAGTTGGAGAAAAATTGTTTTCAAGTTTCATACAAAAATATATATATATATACAAATTTACTTATTCTGCTTTTCAGCTTTTTAATATTTAAGGTTTCCGTTTTAAAATTATTCACTGTATCTGGTAACTTGCGTTTATTCCTAGATCAGTCATTTAGCTCAAAGTATTATGTGTCAACGTCAGATCTTGCAATTTTTGTTTTTTTGTTGTTTATGTAACGATTAGAATGTTATTTTTGGTGAAAAAAGGCAAGACTTTGGAATTATATAGGAAAAATGAATGGAAACTCTCTTATTGTTTATTATGAGGTTGATTCATTAGACGATGTTTCCTTTTCTATGCCTAAGGTGCGCCGTCCAAACATTCATATGTGCTGGATGCAAGCACCCTAGTCGGAGTGGTTTTCGTGCCCACATGGCTTGCTTCGTTAAGTCAGAGTACGTGCATTCTCGTTTGCACATAAAGCTGCTTTGATACATTTATTATTGTTTTTTTTTAAATACAGTTCGAAGAACCACTGTTTAGGACGGTACCTTGAATGTGCTGGTTGATAAATGAAACTATGAACATCAGTGGCTTCTCCACCTAAAAGACAAAATGATAATTACTGTTCCCAAGGAAGACGCAGCTGGAATGACCAGCAAATGTATTAAAAGTGTATTCGCAAAAGGAGAAGAAAAACACTGTAGTGGCTCCCTGGCAATTATCGAAATAGGTCAATTAACGCATAAAATATGACAAAATTACCATCCCTATTTATAAAGGGCTGGCCATGTTCTAGAATGATCCAGATTGTGACCTAGGCAACTTAACTTAACATAATTAATAATTTTGAAACTTGAGGTGACTGCAGGTTACTTGGACTCCAATATGAGGATTGGACCAAACATGCCTTACATTAGTAAACTGTGCTGTGGAAAAACATACAGAGTATTGTAGGTGACATATTATTTTCGTTTTTTGGCAATAATTTCACCAGATCCTCATAAATCGTTTTCAAAATTGACACAGGGCTATAACTTTAGGAGACAAGAAACACTGAGGGAGATTAATTTAAACGGTCGTACCTTTACTCTTCCTTGACTTCTGGGAGCAAACTATCCACTGTATGGGGATCCGATGATTCGCCCTCTAAGGGAAGATTTCGTCAACCTAACGCCTGTCTATTATGTACCCGACGATTCCCGTTTGTTTTCGTCGTCGTCACATGGAGAGGTTAGAATTTTGTCTCGGGTCACATTAGCTGCGCTTCCGTCTATTGGTTCCAGGTTGCAGTTTAACGTTTCGCAAAGTCGGAACCATAACAAATGCAAATGCGTACGATTTTTGAAAGTTTTGAAAGACTCAATTCAGGGAAAAAAAAATAAAATTTTTTAAATTACGGACACTATGTGACAATAGTGTGCTATATTTTCTTCCATTGTTATTCATCTGAATGGTTTTCTATTTCTGCTAATTTAGAATTTTATTAAAACAATTGAAACAAAAAGGAAACAAAAAGAGACTTTAGAAAGAAAAACAAGAAGTTAATTTGCCCATTGTGACTCATAACTTGTTCATGAAATATTGTTTATTATTGGTAAATGTTAACATAAAGAAACTAAGTAACATCTAATTATTTATCGATGACATTAGATTAATTAACATGCGGGGTTATATGGGTGCCAGGATGCGCTGGTGTCTAATAGTATTGCCTTGCATTGTAGAAAAGTTACAGGTAATGTCCATGCGCACCAACAGAGAGAACGGTCAAGGAATGCAGCGTCGACTCATATCCATGGAGACGAATATTGTGGTCATTCTACGCATTACGCTTGGGCATATTATTAATTAAAGTCCAACTATGTATTTCACATATGAAGAAGTATTTCTTATATTCGACAAGTTATATTATAGAAGTTATCGTGATATACACTTCAGTGCGCAATTAAGACTAACTTGCATTGTGTTGTTAGCAGTTTTATAAAAATATATAATGTACACAAAGTGTCTATAAAATAAGTGTAAAAAATATATAGCCACCATTTAAAGATATCAATGACAGTTATAAAAAATGTAATGCGGTTTACGCATTTTAATTTTTACTTCTACGTTAATAATATTTGGTTATTGATTTACTGGAAATATGGGAATTTGCTTGGATACTGGTGAGTAAATATTTAGTTACTACTGTTGTTCAAAACAACTGTAAGTAGGCCAGTAAATAATAATATGTAAAACTATGACGTTATATAGGTACCAAGCCGAATGAAAATCTACGTTACAACCGATCTGATGTGAATAATTGCACATTTTCTTTAGCATTTGCACATTTCAATGCTCTAGGGTACAAAACAGACTGATTAACTTGAGTGCGCATCGTTATTATTATAAAACATTGCAATAATGTAAAACAATGAGATCATCAAATATATATAAATATACATACGTACACATCCATCAAATTTATTAAGGAAAACCTAACACTATCCGGGCTGCATAAATGCACAAATTACCATTTATTAGCAATAGTCAACAAATAACGTTCTCCTATTGGTTCTCGATAAAAGCATGTAGGTATTAGGTATATGTTTTGTACACACGTTACCAACCGAAGGTAGCTTTTGACTTGTCGTTGCCATGCATTTCTTTTACTTTATACTCACAGGTAGTTTATTCTGTACTCATATTCTGATCGTGATGTATACTTGACGTGTGAGGTGTAACGAACGTTCTATTAGCAAGAATAAATGGAGGAACTACTGTAGCCTGTTTACAGCTACATCGTCAATCACATTTAATTTAATTTAACAAATAACAAAAATTACATAAGTACAAAAATAAAAAAGAAATACAACACGGATGCTGCTAGGTAGCAGCTAATTGAATGCAGCGTTGCAATGTAGTATTTTCCTGTGATACTACCAGCGTCGAACTGGCCCTTGCCTGTACTGTATTCAAATACGCTTTTCTTGAAAATGGTGGACTTTCGAACCACCAAACATTTACTTAATTGTCTTGTTTTAAAGTACCCTATCACCTTCTCGAAGTTTGACACCTGTATATTTAATCAATGCTCTATTACAATTTAGTTAAAGTAAATTCCAAGTTGTTACTAATAGCAATATAAACAATACAATTAGAATTAGGTGAACATTATTTGAACCAATTTATATGTTATTAAAGACAACATTAATTCAATAGAACATGTATGTGTTTTAAATACATACAAGTTGAGGTCCATCCAGAGTGTAAATAATAGAAAATCAGGTCCCATTTGCAAGATGAAATTCGATTTTGATCTCATCTTGTATCTATGTGTAGATAATGTTCATGAGACAAAAGGAGGGTTGGGCTAAAAAACCTCCATCTTGTTCGGAGCTCCGATTGACCCATTGTATCAAATTTTAAACTTCGACAGTAGATTGACTGTGGAGGGCTTTGTAGGTTTTTGGCGTATAAAATAATTTCAAACATTTTTACGGTTGCCTGAGACCAGTACACCTGATAACGTGGTCAATCATTTTATTATTAAAAGCGCACTGTTATGCGAGGTATTTAGCAATAGAAAAACGTAATTAAATTGTATTAAAAATCGTGTTGGCAATTTTAACTTTTTTATTAATTTGAACGCTTTATTTAAAAAACAACAGAAATGCACTTAAACATTAAAAAAGCATGGAAAGGGAAAGGGTTGCAAGTTATTGTATGAATTATAAACAAAAACTTTGATTTCAACCCATTTCTTATTGCAGAATAATTGGAGGTATTCTTTTATTACCCTCAAACAGTGCTGCCTTTGGGGTTATTTCCATTTTAATACGATTTTCAATATATAAACGATGTATGTCGAGACTTTCACGAGCTTATTCATATTTGCATGTGCTAAACCATGAATAGAAAAGATATATACAACAGACGAAAAACATAAAAGTTGAAAAAACACAAAAAATATATACAAAAACAATGCAGACAATCTATATATATATATAACAAAGTCGTCTTAGTTACACTATTTATAACTCAAGAACGGTTGAACCGATTTGGCTGAAAATTGGCGAGGAGGTAGCTTGCAACCGGGAGAAGGACATAGGATACTTTTTATCACGTTCCACAGGAAAAACGTGTTATATGTGAACGCAACGGACATGGAATGACAAAACGAAAATAACAGCAAAACGAAAAATTTATAAAAACGCAGCTGACATGCAATAACAAAAAGCAACTGACATCTAAACGTAATGTCTATGGTTAAGTATGGTCTTTTATTTATAGTCAGATTAGCTGAAACTTGGCTTTAATGCTTTTTCATATAAAATTAGTGACATACATACCTATTTCAACATTTTACAAAATTCTGTAATATAATAATAACGATATATGATTTTCGCTTGCAAGGAAGGTGTCCTACTTGAGGAGAAGTCCGTATCTCTATCATCAAATGAAATTTGTAAATTCATGCCAATCTACAAAGAAAAATTAATAATAATGTTTTAGTAAAATAAAACCCAATATCATTTGCATTTGCAGGAAACTTGCAAATTAATACTACATTTGTATAAAACATAGGTATCTATAACACATACGTATTTGATATCTTACTTTTCATTTTGTAGTGGAAAAATAACTGTCGCACTCCAAACTCATTTAAACTTTTTAACCAACTGTAGTAACGATCTTTTGTAACGGTTATAATCCATATTTTATGTATACCTAATATCGCATGTGTGAAACCTAGAACCAATTTAATGGTAGCACGAATAAATTTATTGGTAGCAGGAATCAATTTATTGGTAACAAGAAAAAGTTCGTTAGGAGTAAGTATGGACATTAATACAGTGAAGTTAAAACGTATGATGTTCGAGTGGCTTTTTAAAAGAACATTGTTTTAACACATTTATTTGGTTCGGTTTTCAGGAACTTTTAGTACACTTTATTTATCTTAAATATTACGCACAAATGATGGCGAATGAACAAACCTGATATAGGTTTTACCTATAAAGTAGAATGTTGAATGATGATTTTTTTTGTTTTCGTGGAAGAGGGGAAATCTTCAAAACCACTCTACCTCAGGCTGTTTTAGGGTCATTTAGGTCCTGTTCAGCCGTATGTGTTTGTGGTTTATATTATGTGTCTGTGTGCGTGTGCGTTGTGTGTGTGTGTGTGTGTGTATTTGTATTGCATTAACTGTGGCAACCTGTGTGTGCATTAAGCTGAACTGTGGCGTACGCTTTAGTTGTGGCAACGCACATTCGGATGCCACAGCAAAAGTTGCCATAAATCGCATATAAGTCTGTTTCGTGTGTGCCGCTTTGAATATACCACGCCTACGAGGATAGTGCGCAGATTGTNACCATAGGGTAAGGATTTCATATTCGAGCAGAGGGTATTAATAGGATGGTATTTTCATTTATTATGGAATGGATTTTGTTTAATTTTAACTTAATAGGCTTTACAATAAGAAAGTTGATAATACACATATAATTTTAAGTATTGACTTAATGGTTCTTCTTCATCGGTAGAGAGTAGTTGACATTTTGAATAAATTTCTTGAAGATGTTTAATCATTGCGTTAATTTGGGTTTAGAAATGGTTTCAAAATTTGGAATATTTTCGAGGGCAAAAGTGATTGATCTTTCCAAAAGTTGCAAATAGTTCAAGAGATTACTTGCAATTTGTGTCAAGTGTAATACTTTTATTTTCGAAGGTTATTTGCAGCAGCATTTAACGTATTAAATGACTTACTATAATTTTCTTGAACCGTATTAATAATCTTTAAAAATATGGTGGGCTAATGACAAATACTGATTTTGCTTATCAATTGTTTTCTTTTGGTTTTTAAAAAGTTTATACATGTTTGATTTTAATTCTTTATACTGGTCTTCATCTACTGTGCCAAACAGATAATTTAATGCGTTTCCTATTCCGTTTATTAGTCTATGAGCGTTTCTATGGATTTTGAATTTATTAAGGGTGTTATTAATGTTACATAATAGATACATTTTCTAATGTGAAAAATCTGTATTGAAGTTTTACTAGGGCGGTTTTAGTAATTAAATCGCTATAGGTTTTCCGTGCTAAAGTAAGATTAACAGAAGAAGCAAAGTTATGGTAAAGGGAGAATACGAGGGTATTGCCAAAATTTTGGGATACATAGGTAATGTTACTGTTTGATTTTGTTACGTCAGTCGTCTCGGCTTGTGCCAGGCTAAGGGGTACGGTGATCAGGAATATGTTCGTTATTTTGCAACAAAATTTCCTTACCTTCTTACCATTCTAATCTTACGCAGTGGTGTTTTCCATACTTTTGCTTACCCTGGCAGTATTCCTTCAATCCTATCATTATTTTGGTCAATTTTAGTGCTACTTTGAAATTTTAGGGCAATTTTAGATTTGCCTGCAGTTTTAGTATAAATTTCTCAAGGTAGTACAGGAATAGGGTCGTTTTGTTTGTTAACTTTGTCTAATGCTTGATGGTTTCTTTCTAAATTTCTATTTTTGACTTTTTGATACAATATGAATAGTTCTTTGTTTCTGTTATTTATGTATTTACTGGGGTTATTAAGCTCTAAGAGTTCTAGGTCTGGTAGTGGATTAAATTGAGTTATTATACATAAAAATGGATTGTATCATCAAATTTGGAATTGTTTTGGCAGGGTTGATTTGTTTTAAAATTGTTTATTTTTCTTCACGTGTTCTGATTGCCTGTTTATGCGAAGTGCAAGTCAGTGTGATAAAGTTTAGACAAGTCTTTGAGATGAGGGTTGTAAAATTCTGATCCCATGTCAACTAATATTTTACCTGGAAAATTATGCTGATTAATGAAATTAATTTATTAAAGATTAATTTATTAAGTATGGTAATACCATTCTTATCTGTTATATGATAAGCTCGCGCGTATTTACTGAAATGGTCGAAAATTGTCAAAAACGTATTGTTTTCAATTGTAACTAAGTCCATCATTATTATTTCAAAGGGTTTTGTCGTCACTATTGATCCTTTGTAAATATTTCGTTCATATTTGGATTTTAAACATACGTCACATTTACTGATGTAAAATGTGATTAATTTATTTAAATTTGGCTAATAAAATTTCGTCCTGAAATGGTAGTATGTCTCTTCAATACCATTATAGTTAGTGTCATGGTAATTTGAAATTAGTTGCAGG